TGTGCTCCTTTAACTTGCTATTATGTTTTCTGATTTCTGCTTTTCACATGTACTAATTTAAAGTACTTACTATCCAAACTACCAATATGAATGCTATGCAAGGGGACAGAGTAATTTTCAAAGTAGTCGATACACTATTCTGAGGTCCACAAGAAGCTTAGTGTTGGGCAACTATCAAGTCAGGGAACCAAATGAGGCATACTCAAATTCTGAGTTCTTCTGGATTTTTTAAACCAAAGGAAAAGAGAGTTATTTTGAAATTAACTCTCTCTCTCTCTCATTCCATTTTTTGGCAGTTCAAGCTTGAAGCCTAACTACAAAGATTAAGAAGGTGGCACAGAGGTCAATTTATACTTAGTAGAAAGTAGCACAAAATCTTTTCTGTTAAAAATCATTTAAAAACTTTAGTATGCTCTTCTTCTTTACTAAATCTATAAGCACAAGAAACAGATCTTAAAATTCAGAGTCTTGGCCCTCCCTGGTGGCGCAGCGAGTTAAAGCACAGCACTGAGAAGCTAAAGCCACTTCCGCATGAGTTCGATCCCCGATCCCCGCGTGCCCCAGAGGAGACCACATGGTGTGACAGACCTCTCTTGACCCGCCCTCTGCTCCCCTCAGCAGTGTACTTCATTGATCTGTCTGTTCTGCTCCCTGTTCTGTCTCTGGTGAAGCCTCTCACTGCTCCTGCACCTCTGGCCTGTAACCCAGTTCTGTATGCATAAATAAATAAATCTTTAAAAAAAAAATTCAGAGTCTTAGCGACCATTTAGACTGTAGAACATGCAGGTAAAAGAACCTCTAGCATATCTCGGGTTCTGTGTAAGGTAAAACCATACATAACATTCTATCACCAATTTATTCTCTGAAAATTCAACAAAAAAGCAATATTAGGCTAATCAATAAAAAGATTAGAGTATTTATGTTATCCCAAGATTTAAAAAAAGGACACTCCAAACTGGAAAACATGAGTTTCTCTTTCTGACTTTGGTCTATGAAACAAACATATATAGATGAAATTTAACAGACAGCAATTCATAAACACTAAGTTCATTTTCAACTGTACAAACACCCTTAATTTACTTTAAAGTCACAGGGGAAAATTAACTTCAACTTGCATTCAGATTTATTTCTTCAAATCAAGAGCAAGTATACCAACTTCCTAGATGACTGTGTGAGACAAAGCTGCTGATTATTGCCTAGGCATGACCTCTCTCTTGCCTTCTCACTGCTTGTAAGTGCTTAACACTACTAGTTATATTCTATAAAATGTTAGCATAGGCCTATTTCATTAACAGCATTGTTCAACTTTCAGGAAACATGTAACTTCAGTTGTGAAGTAAGCCAAGATCATTTGCAAACACAGACAACAGTACAGGAACTTAGTCATTTCACTATGAGAAAACTGCCAACAGTGTTGAATTAGGAATACAGTTATTAATTCTAAATTACAATACTCTACATAGGTTGGAAAAAAAGAAATATGAAGATACCTGCAGGGTTTGCCATATTAGGATTAGTTTCTTGGCTAGAGATAGGAAGAAGACAGGAGCAGACTGCAATAGAGGACTGATGATTAGAAGTATGACAGCCACATTCTTTCACATTAGAAGGGTTGCAAAAGCAGCTGCAAATGATTAGCCATCAGCAGTCTGTGTAGCTTGTCAGTGGACACCAGGCCCCATCAGTTTTTGTTGAATGTACATAAGAGATTAAACAGATTTGCAAGACACTCAGACTGAAATACAATCTTTGCAAACTGGTTTTCTTTAAGGTCAGCCTAAAGAAAGCAGGAACGTAAGCCTCCTTCCACAGTAGAACCAAGGGGTGGAGTGAGGTGAATGGAAACCTGTGGACATTATAAATGTATGGCATAGCGAAAGAAAGACATCTACCAATGTTCATCTTTGTGCCTATGACATAACCCTTAGACAAAATTGGGTGCTGTACTGAAAACTGAGGTAAAGCAAAGGCACTGCCAACAGAAAAGAATGTAGCTCATGAATACTATTTTGTCAATATTAACCATAACCCCAATAAATATGCCACACAGGTGCTGATTCAGTAAAATAGCATACACTCCCCAACAGAAGGCTCTACAGAAGGGAGCAAGTATTCTTTGATGAGTGAAGCTTATCACACTTCAGGTAAACTCCTCTGTTGTATTTAAACAATATATTGAAAATAATTATAAATTCCCATCTCCATACTTGAAGTCTGAATTTCTTTAGTTAAGCATTTCTATTAACAGAGAAAATTCAATTCATCGCCACCAACGAGCCAGTAAATAGAATACCTTACAGAAAGGCCAGCTTCTGGAAACCCTGCTGCTGAATAATGAAATGTGCTAGCAGGCATGGAGAAAATCTCTCAGTGGTTTCAGATTCTGGCTGAAAAAGCAGAAAGTGTTTTCTAGTTGAGCACTTTTCATACATTCTTGCTTTGTAACAATGAATTCATCAACTCCCTAGTCCCTCTAGATTCTAGAACAAGGTAGGAAGTCCAGGTTGGTCTCCAGCAGTTAATTCGTCAGTTTTACATTAAAAAACTAGATAATTTACCATTCCACACTACTGTTTAGTACCTAAGTTCTTACCTTTCAACAATAAAATCATATTCTTCTAGATCAGAGACTAGATTTTCTTTCTTGATTGTAATCCTAGATCACAGGCAGCCAAGTATACTTTAAAATATGATTCTCTTACTGAAGTTGAGAATTTATAATGACTTTCTGGTAGGAGTATACTACTTCCTTAAAATGTGATGTGAGGAGATGAAGAAAGTTACATTTTGATGGGAAGATTAAGATGGGCAGTGGACTTTGGCTAAAAATACTTTCATATGAAAAGGTAACATACAAAGGCACTTAAGTATATGCAATATAGGAATATGTGTTTTGAACTCAAATACTAACAATTTTCAATCCGTATACATAAGGAAAATACAGGAACTAAAAATTAAGTCAGCAAAGTGAAGTTACATTTGACTTTGGTTGCAGTTAACACACACACATTGTTTCTTAAGTTTCCTTAAAATGTGTGTGTGTTTTAGTCAGATGCTATTATTCTGTATACAGATTCTAGTCTTGCACACCTTTTCAAGCATGCATTATGTGCATAGAGCAGAGCTTGATATTTTAAGCTGGGTGATTTTTTGTTTGGGGTGTGGGTGTCCTATACATTGTAGCATACTTTGGACCATCTCTGGCCTCTCTCTACTCCCTGGATGCCAGTAGTATCCTCACCAGTTCTGACAATCAGAAAGGTCTCCAGATGCTGCCAAATAGTGAGACAAATCACCCCAGTTTGAGGGCCCTCCCTGGTGGCTCAGCGGGTTAAAGCGCTGCACTAAGAAGCTAAAGTCACTTCCGCATGAGTTCGATTCCTGCCTGCCCCGGAAGTGATCCACATGGCGAGGCAGACCTCTCCTGACCCGCCCGCTGCTCCCCTCAGCGGTGTACTTCGTCGATCTGCCTGTTCTGTTCCCCACACTGTCTCTGGTGAATCCTCTCACCCTCTGCATCTCTGGCCTGTACCCCAGTTCTATGTGAATAAATAAAATCTTTAAAAAAAAAATCACCCCAGTTTGAAAGCTGCACATACAGACTAGAAACTAACCTAGTAGTGAAATAAGACTGAGTTTTAAACTTCTTATCCTTTTTGATGATATTTCAAATAGCTGCATATCCAAAATCTAAAGTCAAATGACAAAACAAAATTCAATTTCTGTGAATAGCAAAAGCAAAATCTTAATTTCACTGTTATATACTTAAAATTTTAGTTAAAGCTTCCACTCTTTTAACTCCAATAATCTGACAGCCTTAAATTTAAACTTTTCACTGAAAATTTAAATTTGGATTTTGATTTTGAACTTGTGTTTGGTACCCAGAGCTTCACCTTATATTAACCGAAAAAAGCTCTGTTCCTGCTGGTTTGAAAAAATCTACCCACAGTAAACCTTAGGTCTCTCTGCTTTTAGAGGAAGACAGGAAAGAAGCCCTTTGTGCTGAGGGGTATGTAGGTTGTGGAGCTCAGGGCTCTGACCTGCAGCCCCGTCCCTGACCTAGGGTTTTGCCACAAAGCCAAGCACCTGATAGTGAGTCACTGTGGAGAGGGGTGCTTCTTAGAATACGCCGAATACGCCCATTTTTCTAGATACAACTGCTTCATTTTCATACAAAAGAGCCATCAACATTAATTTTTCAAAGAATTGCTTTTGCATTTTACTAGTTTTGTCTTGTTTGTGAAGTTTATCTGTGCTTAAAAAAAGTGGCTTTTTGATTATCATTTCAGAGACTGGCCTGAAATGGAAGCATATCTACCAATCCATTTGACCAAAATTCTCTAAAGAATGAGGTCCTAAATCACACTAGTCCGGGTCTTTGTATATGTATCCATATACACATACACAACAGGTACACATACACATTATGAAAATGGATGCTGAATTCACCAATATTCTATTCTTTGGTCTTGCAATTCCACTCTTGCTGATATACAGCTTCACAGAGAATGAGAATTTAGACAATAATATTCATATAAATTTTCTATTGTCTCCTGAGGAAATGAGAGCCAAATTATCAGGTTATTTTCTCAAATTTCCATAGATACAACACTTGGTCTTTCTGTTAGCTTTTGCATTTAAGTTTGCTCAGGTTTAAAAATAACAGTTGTTAAAAACCTTTGCTTGGTCTAGTAGTCTTTCAAATCTTGAATTATCATGGTTCATTTATCATTATCTAATTTAGACACAAAAAGGCCAACTAAAGGCATTCATCATTCATCCTAGAATAGGTTAATCTCATGTACCTATAGAAAAAAAGCTAATGTTCACACATAAATATATGATAGTATCTCCAGAAAGTGTACACTTTAAAAATGCTTGCTACAACATAGGCACTGCTATCTTTCAGGCACTAGGAAACACAGCAACTATATCCCTGAGAACAACAGCCTCAAGAAATCACCGATAGTTTATCAGGTAGAAAGATAACAAATACATACCATCAAAACTACCTTGCTCAGAAGCAAGGTACAACAGCTGATTGTATGTTTCAACTGAAGGCTGAAAAACAAACACTCCAGAATTGAAGCAATCGGGCCATCCTGGGTCTGGTGCTGCTGACAACTCTTCTCTTTCAAAAAGATCATCAATATTTGCTAGCACCTGATACAGGGTATGGAAGAAAGGAAAGCATTATAGAAAAGTCCTGCTATAACAACTCTTCAAGTTCTTCCAAATTTATCAAACACAAAGATGCAATCTATAGCTGGTCATAATTACTCAGATGACACTCTAAGGTAGCCTGGAACTGCTTTCCTCATCACCTAACACTATGTACAATGGTTTTATCTGAACTTTTATCTGAACACTACTGTTAAATATTAGTGTTCTTCAAATGTCTAACTGGCCTTGATTACTGTACACATCTTTCCCATCATCAAAGCCACACTCACCAAAGTATCAGCATCCATGAACACACATTTTGAGTATTGTGTAAGTGACCAGCAATGAAGTTTAGTTAATGTGACACCCAACTCAGGCCTCTTCATTAAGGTTAGATGAGCAGAATCGCCACTGTCCAAGACATCTACCATGATGACTTCATCAAAGACGGTTTCTAAAACTTTTCTGTCAAAATAAAACCCAAAAAATGGAGCTTAGTATCTTTTCAGAACAAGTGACCCAGCTAGCATATCCTTATGAGCCTATCCATCAACTATTAGCATTCGGTTACATGTATTCTCTTAAATACATCCTAATTTACTTTAGGAATATTGTGTTACATTGTATATGTTGTTAACATCATTAAAATAATAAGAACTGTTTATGATGAGACAGCACATTTGGATTAGAATGTTATTACAAAAAAGAAGTGTTCTATTTTTTATTGTACCACTAAACATCTATAAATTATGGAAAATTTGTGTGATTCACATTTGGTACAACTTTGCGACAGCCTATGTGTGTAACAATGATATTTGATCAGAGTTGAGTGTAACTACTGAGTATTTTTGTAAATGATGTCTATATAATATCTACAAAGCCCATAATAAATCATTTTTACTAAAGCAGTTGACAAAGAACTGATCAAAGAAGGTAAAAGATTCAGTGACTAGGTTGCCCTTTTTTACAATTTAATATAAACAGCATTTATTATGTGCTTAGCACTCCTGATACAATGACTCACTCTGGTTTGAAGTATAACACTTCATACCCCAAACTAACTAAGGACTTAATTTTAGAAAGTAATCTTGATGTTGGTTAAATGGTTAAGTTCAGCACAAGGAAAAAAAGTATGCTAGAGACAGATCATCATGGAACATGCAGAACAAAACTGGTATTACAATATCTATTCCCAAAGCTATACAAAAGTAATGTTCTAGTTCTTGTTCTCACAGCAAACTTGTTTGTTTTTTTTTTTTTTAAAGGAAATGGTTAGTGACACCTTACACCACAATAAATGAATGGGAGGGATATATGTGTCTTCTCACATACAGCCTCACAAATTGGCGATAAGGTTGAAGGCGTAGTCTTTTGACAGTTCCCTAAGTTACCGTTTAGGAACAAGGTTTTTTTGGTGTAATATATACATGCATATATAATGCCTCCTTTTCAGGGTCCTTGGCATGTGTTTACATTTTGGGGGGAAAAGTTACAAAACTGGAGTTTTCAATTCCTTAGATGGATAGGAGAATACAAAAATAAATACAATACAGAGCTGCTAAAGTGCCCAAATAGCTTTCAACTTAGTATCACAAACTAGGCAGATCATACAGCTCCTGCAAAATGGAATTCCATCAAATCAAACTGAACTAACAAATCAAGAGCTTGTGCCCTTCAAGTAGCTTTCCCAGTCTAAACCCTAGTTCAAAAAGCCCTTTGGCAAATATTTTAGTCTTTTAAATTGTAAATAAAATTGTCAACTGGAGAAAACTGCTACTTTCTTTCAAAGTCTCAAAGTTTCCCTTGACTGAAACAGGAAGCCAAGGAGCCCTGACCATTTTAGGAAAGGAGCATGAGAAATATGACCTCACACAGGGAGGTCTGGACTCTCTCACAGATCACCCTGAGAGAATTTGCCTAAGAAAGAGTCATTCTCTGCCTGGGATCAGTTAAAGCCCAGAACAGAACACCCCCTTCCTGAGGGGTTCTTGGTTTGAATATCTTCCAAAAGTTAGCAAGAGGCTTCAGGTCCAGAAAACCTCAACTCATCTTTCTCCACCCGGTTCTCAAACCCTGAAGAGAGTAAGGCCTCAATGTTAACTGGTGCCATGAACAGGAGTGAGGCACTGGAGCCCCACCAACCAGTAAGACCCAAGATCCTCACCTCATGGAGCCTGAGACCTGTGGGGTAGCAAGCACAACCAGCTTCCTGGTGGTTCTGTGCTGTTTGAGGGACGAGCCCAGGACCAGGGCCCCTTTGGCGTAGGCATCGTTTGTGGTCAGCGTCACAAAGGCCTGATCTTAATATAAAGAGAAAAAACACACTCACATATAATTCCTACCTCAAACATGCTGCCTCACTATCCTTTCAACCTGGCACTTGGCAAAGTTATCTCCTATGTGATCCCTGCATTCATAAAGGAACAACCCCTTGAGGGGTTGGGAGAAACCCAAGTACCCACTTAAAGAATGGTTTAAGACATACTTTAGCAGGAGTATCTTTGGCAATCTCCTAAAGACTGCCTGAGATAAATTCAACTGAAAGTTGGACATGCTTAACCTGTAATAAATGGTAGCTTAACACCCAGAGGGTGAGCCTCTGGCAATCAACAAGGGGTATGAAAAAAAAAATCAAGTACAATTTCTGTTTCTTCTACAAGACACCATAGACAGTATTTTCAGCCAAGTTTAAACCCAAGAGTCTCAAGTAAGACCATCTGAAAGCAGTGGCTATAAACTCCATTTTGGTGCTTATATTTCTGCCAGGCCTCATACCGTTACAACTGTTCCTCAACCTAAAGCAGCTTCACCTCCTCACAGTCTCTCAAGAGCCACTTTAAGTCTGTGCTCAAAGATCAACTCTCAGGGCCACTTCACAGGTTCTAATAAACCTTTTCTTTACAGAAGCAACTGTACCCCCTACCATGTACCCTAGGGTCCCCCAACAATCTTTATCCCTCATATATAAAAATAACCAATCTGATAATTACTTTGGAACAGAAGCAAACACATGGTTTTTTCTTCCCTGCGGAAGGAAGCCCCTTCCCAAGAGAAGAGCACTAACCCAGCCTTTACGATTTCTCCAGGCCTTCTCTGGACTGAGGCTGGGGCTTGTGCTATCCAGCTGACTGGCAGCCAAACATCCAGGATACTTAAGAGCAAGCTCTGGCAGGGGTCACTTGGGGATTGTTGCCCAACCAGAGCGTTGGGACACTCTGTCAAGTAGTCACTCTCTTTCTGTCTTAGGTTTCCTCATTCTCCCTTTGCTCAGGTTCCAACGTAGAGGCTGGAGGCATTGAGAAGTGAAAGGCCTTAAGAGTGGGTCAGAGGGCCGGCACGCCCCCCAACGCCCACCCCCCAGACTCTAACCTGAGGGACAGCTTCACACAGAAGCAGTTGGACGCTCTCCCAAGCCGGCCCACTCTTCAGTGGTGGAAAACCCTGTCAGTCACCCTCTAGGAACGTGCACAGCCCTGATACTTGCCACTTGACAGACCCACAACCTCTGCCTCTGCTTGTTCCTTCAGCCCCAGTAAAACGGCAACAAATTAATCAGCATGCCCCAAAGGTATTTAATCGGGGGTGTTATTTTAACTCGAAAGCTATTCAGTTCCAGGGATTCTCCGAAAAACATTTAATAAGGTAACATTCAAGGACTTCAGGAAGCAACAAGAATGACTTCCGAGATAAAGCAGGGGATCGGACAAAAAGCTCAGGGCCACTGGCTACAACACCTGCAGCC